GAAAGAGCTTCCTCAAACCTGTTACTAGCCCCCACGCAGCTAATTATTCCTTCTGTTTCTCTGAGCTCTCTCCAAATTTGTAAGTAAGTTCAGTGAGCGGCCAGTGATGAGAGCAGGAAGACAAGGCTGTTTGCCATCTAAGTCACACATACTCTGTCCCCATAGGGTCCTATATATAGTTTCTGAGTAACTCCAAATCACTGTTCTTTACTGGCAGGTTTGAATACCTCAGTGCCTTGCAACAGACAGAGATCAGTGCCTGAATCAAGCACTCATTAACAGTGCAGCAAGCGAGGGAGCAAGAGTTTGTGCATCTACAGCTAGTTCCACCTGAGTGCTTTGTGACTGTTGGTCACCCCTGTGCTGAGAGCTGCCACAAGGTCTACATGCCGTTTAAGCTGCTAGAATGGTATTTGGCATGGCAGTCATCTCTCGGGCAACTGAGTCTACAGATTGATTATCCCTTCCACAAATGTATGAGGTTTGAGCTGTTACACTGCAGGCTGCTGTGGCCAAGGACGCTGGGGATTGAAAAGAGACTGGCGATTTGGGTAGTGCCCAACAGGAGAAAACTAATGGGGCCTCATATAGAATTGAGCACTGAACGCTCGAAAGCAATCTTTGCAGCGTCTCCAGGTGGGCAACTAAAATACTTGAGTAACTTTTTTGGAGATGTAGCTGGCTTTTGCCCAAGGCTAGTCAAGCGAGGCTGTTTATAAGCAAAGATCCATAAAGATGTTTGTCTAGACATGCTGCAGTCATGTTCCAGCATCTTATTAAGCTAGGAGCATATGAACAGGGATAGGCTTTGTCCCAAGTAATGTACAATGTAGTATCAGTCCGAGCAGGTGGAGACAAGCGAAGGAACAGAGCTTGATGGGCTTTAGCACATCAATTGCTTAAGCTTCTTGGCGCCTTTCGAACTATGTCAGACTCCCTGCTCTGTGCTTTACTCATTGAAATAACTCAATTTTTAGAAGTTCAGAAAAGAGCTTAAAAAAATTAAGAGAAATCTTTTGCCTGTATCTCTTGAGCCTTTTCAGCCAGTTAATCGGCATGAGTGTTGTATTCATCCAGAGCTAATGTTATCGAGGCCTGGTTGAATTACTGATGGAGCTTGGCTGGAGCAAGAGACTGCTGAAGTCAGAATGGCACTTCATCTTTCATCAGAGAACAGCAGCCTCAGTAAGCAAACAGTCAAAAAAGTAATAACAAGTGCCACCAAGTTCAGGGAGAGGAAAGTTCTTTTGATAAAATGGTGGGGGAAGAAGAGGGAAGTGTGTGGACAAAAGCATGAAACAGGAGCTCAGGTCTAGTAAAAGAGTCAGACAAAATGTTGTTAAAAAGTCAGATGAGAAATTTAACCAAGTTAAATACTGAGAAGTCTAGGTGATGCTCTTTCCTGGTCACGTATGGGATGGAGTTTAAGTGCTTTTAAAATATGCAAAAGGTGGGGAATTAGAGCCAGGGACTCTCAATTATAGCACAGTGATGCGTGAAGCAGATAAAGGCGGGGGAGATTCTTATGAATGTTAGGGATCTCGGTGGCAGGCCTTTCAGGGATGCCAGTTTCGTAGCTAATGGGGTCTGAAGTGCCGGTGGTGAGGACGGAGGGCTGGCTGGAGCAGGGGGCTGCCCTCTCCTTGGTACTGAACGGCTGCTGCAGCAGCCCACGGCCAGGCATTTCTGAGAAGGAGTTTGGTTAACAAAGCTAATTCTGGGTTAAGGGCAAGATGATGTATGTGATGACCCTGCATGTGTTTCATCCCCCTGCAGCCGTAGGAGAGGAGTAACCAGAACCCCACAGTACATGGAGCGCGTGAATCCCTGTTTAAAGCTCTCCCAGCCGAGCTGCGGTGCTGGCAGTCCCGCGTGTTAATGTCCCTGGTGAGGTCTTTCTGACTGATTTCCCACAAGGCGCAGCGCGTGTGCGATCCCTCAGGAAATCCAAATGGTAAAGAAACATTTCCATCCAAGTCTTGTCCCGCCAATCTTGCCATCAACAGGACGAGTCTGGTGTAACAGAGCTCAGTTCATACATCAGTGGGCAGTAACCCCAGGTGTCCTCAGTCTGCTTCACAGCCTGAAATGCCTCCTACTTGGAGCCGGGCAAAACATTTTCAGTGGAACATAGTGAAATAGAAGTGTTTCATAGCATGCAGTTATTTTTGAGGAAGATTTTTGGTAGAATAACTGAAATGTTTAACTTTGCGTGCATTTTAAAATAACAGAAGGTTTTGAGCATACCACTGAAGCATTACACTCACCCTCCCTTCATCCTCCTGCAGTCCCTTTGGGGTCGACAGACAGAGAAGGTAGCACAACTCCCCCTGCTCCACCTCCCTAGAGAGCTGTAACAGGCTTGTAGTCGTGCGTGCTCTGACAGCAGCATCCCTGCGGTACTCCCCTCCTCCTCCCTGCACCTGCTCTGCAGCTCTTATCAGAGATGAGTGGGAGCAGTAGGCTCCAGCCCACGCTCACGCAGTCTATTCCTTCGGTTTGTTAGATTAGTGCCGATGAAAAGCCATGGCTGGAACGGCCACCTGCATGCTTCTCGGGGGCCCCTGGGGAGCGCAGTGTGAGGGAATACTGCAAGCCTGGCCTGATAAATGAGCTGTGATTTCAGGCCCATGAACAAATTAGTTTCCCCTTCCAGGAAGGCTCACAACTGTCAGCTGACTATTGCTTTATTTATTGCATTGCCCTTTGCAACTAGGGACTCTTGAGGGCAGAGAGAAAAGTTTCCAATGACAGGAAAGCAGA